AAAAAATCTACCTTAGAATTCATTTGGGAACACAAAAAACTGCAAATAGCCAAGGTAATACTGTGCAAAACAAAGCAACACTAGAGGTTTCATAATACCCAACTTCAAACTATTCTACAGAGCCATAGCAATAAAAACAGCATGGTACTGGCACAAAAACAGATAAGAAGACCAGTGGAACAGAATAGAGGACCCAGATATGAATCCATGCAGCAATGCCCAACTAATTTTTGACAAAGGAACCAAAAACATACAATGGAGAAAAGACAGCCTCTTCAACAAATGTTGCTGGGAAAATTGGTTATCTGCCTGCAGAAAACTGAAACTAGATCTGTGCCTGTCACCCTGTACTTAGAATCAACTCAAAGTGGATTAAGGACCTCAATATCAGATCTGAAACTTTGAAGTTAGTACAGGAAATAGCAGGGAATACGCTGGAAGTAATAAATGTAGGCAAGGGCTTCCTCTGCAGAACTCAAGAGGCTTGGCAACTAAGAGAAAGGATTAATAAATGGGGCTTTATGAAATTAAAGAGCTTCTGCACAACAAAAGAAATGGTCTCTAAATTGAAAAGATCACCCACAGAATGGGAGAAAATCTTTCCTAGCTATACATCAGACAAGAGACTGATAACCAGGATATACAGGGAACTTAAAAAACTAAACTCCCCCAAAATCAATTCACCAATAAAGAAGTGGACAACTGAACTAAACAGAACTTTTTCAAAGGAAGAAGTCCAAATGGCCAAAAAACACATAAAAAATGCTCACCATTCCTGGCCATAAAGGAAATGAAAATCAAAACCACACTAAGATTCTACCTCACTCCTGTTAGAATTGCTTCCATCAAGAACACCAACAACAATTGTTGGCAAGAATGCGTGAATAAAGAAACCCTCATACATTGCTGGTGGGAATGTAAACTAGTACAACCACTATGGAACCACTATGGAAAACAATATGGAGGCTTCTTAAAGAACTAAACCTAGACCTGCCATATGATCCAGCAATACCACTCCTAGGGATATGCCCAAAGGAATACGACTCAGGTTACTACAAAAGCACCTGCACACCCCATGTTTATTGAGGAGTACTCACAATAGCCAAGCTTTGGAAACAGCCAAGATGCCCTGCTACTGATGAATGGATTAAGAAAATGTGGTACTTGTACACAATGGAATTTTACTCAGTCTCAAAGGAGAATGAAATTTTGTCGTTTGCAGGTAAATCTATGAAACTGAAGAACATCATTTTAAGTGAAGTTAGTCAGGCTCAGAAGCCCAAAAATCGTATGTTCTCCCTCATATGCAGATTATAGACCCAAAACAAATGCAGTAATGTTATGGGACATGGGTCACACACTAAGGAGAGAATGAGCACTGGAGGGATAGGGAAAAGGAAGGAAACCAAAAACTTGAATGTGGTTGATATGTTCACTTTATAGTAGTGAATAAAGTAATCTTAAACTGGAAGAGACCACTATAGGAAGGGGACTAGGAAATAGTGAAGAGATCTGGTACAGATGAACCAATTTGGGTTGCAATACACATGTGCATGGAAACAATACAAGGAATACCTTGTATAGCTATCTGCATCTCAAACTAGCAAAAATGTCATGTTTTTCTTATTATCTGTTATGCTTTTTCTTCAATAAAATCGGAGAACAAAAGGGTAGAACAGGTTCTGCCTAAAGGCGGGAGAAGTGGGAAACTAATACATACACATGTAAGAAAATGTAAAAATTGCAAAATAAAATTCTAAAAAATGATACTGTAGCCATTCTTTTTTCCTTTGGCATGCATTGGCTGTAAAGTTATTTAAGAGTCCTGAAACTGTGCCTAAGAAAGTCACCAACTCTGTCAGCATTTAAACGTTGCCCTTGAACTTCTGCTTTGTCAAGACATTCTGCAAGAATTAGGAATAAAATGTGTTTCCTCTATTACATGAGAACTTGCTAGGTTTCTAGATAATTCTTTGGTAGAATTTAATATACATGGCACTTAGTCTTTTAATAAAATATTAAATACTGACACATAAAATATAATTTCTTCCTATAAATATATTATTCTTTGCAAATTCAACTTGTTGGTTTATAAGAAATGTAAAGGCATGTATGAAAACAATGAAAAGGAATGGGAAAATTTGGAATTCTGTTGCATAAACTTCCCCTTTTGTCAAAGTTAACTATGAGGGCTCTGATCTCATTTCTTAAAACTTATTGTTATCTCACAGATTCTAGTCAATCAAACATGCAGTATTATAGATAACATACATTTCCATTATAAAGATAACTCTACAATGCAAGCTAAAGAACTGTCTCTACATTAAAATGTACCACTGAATAAAAATTAAAATTACTCCTGTAATTTTATAAATATTGTTCTTCAATAAAATTTTATATAAAAATCCTAAAAACAAAAAGGAGATTATTTTCAAAATTATATTTATATTTTATTAATATGAAAAAATGAATTTCCAAAGTAATGAACATGCATTATAGAATCTTGTATGTGTTTATGATGTTTCCTGGGAAGGACTGATATATGGTCAGTAGACTTTTTTTAAAAAATCACTGAACCAAAGAAGATTATGAGTACCCAAGTTATAATTTTTAACTTATTACGTTGATTCTCATTGTTTAACAGCTTTTTAGTTGGTTTCTATGGGGGGAGGGAGGTACTGGGGTTTGAACTCAGGGCCTCATGCTTGCTAGGCAGGGGCTGTACCACTTCAGCCACTCCTCCAGAACTTCTTTCTTTTTTTCAGAACTTCTTGCTGTAGATTAATTTTACACTTTTACACTGTCTAGCCTCTGGTTGCAGTCCTCCCAATCTCTGCCTCCTGAGTTGCAGAGATTACAGACATGTATTACCAAGCTCAGCCCAGATCAGTAGATTTAATGTGACTACTTCTTTTTCTTTTTTTAATTATATTATTGTTGAACTGGAGGTACATTGTAACATTTTCAAAAGTTCTTAACGTGACTTCTTTATATAACATTTAAAAGGAAGTTTAATCTCAAATTAGAGCAAGTAATTCACCTTGCATTAAAATGAATCCCACTTCCCTAATGCCTTGGTACTCTAACCTCATTAGGAGAAAATCATACAGTACATACTCTGTCATTCAAGAATAATCAGGAGTCTAGGCCTCATTCCATGAACTGATCCTGAGGCAGCCTACGTAGTCCAAATCAAGAACCATTGACTTCTCTTTCTGGTCTGATTTTAGATCCATCTTGTCAACTTTCCTCTCTTAATATTGAAGGAACTCCATAATTAGAAAGAAACGATTAAGTTTAAATTGTGTGGAGAGGTAATGGATAGACTTAAATCCTCATTGAGGTATAGATCATTATTACTCTACTCTTACTCCAATGTCCATTTTGAGAATAGGAAAGAACAAAAATATCATATAAAATGCCAATGGACAAAATAAAAAGTAGGTGGTATGAGAGAAGAGGAAATCCCAAAAGTTTATTCAGTGTTTTAACTGATGATGGTTTTATTAAGGTCAGAAAAGATTAACAGGAGATAGGAGGATGAGAGAGAAAACCAAAACCCAGAAAGAATAAGCACAATGAAATTCTTTCATACTATTAATGTTTGATAAGTAAAAAATAAATTTTTAAACAGTTGAGCTTAGGGTTTACAACCCAGGGTACCCAGTTTCCACATCCTTGCCACTGGTCCCCACATGAATCAACATACTATGGATTCTGAAAGTTCTGGAAATTGTCCTACCAACCTTGTTGGGAAGTTTCACTGAACAAGTCAAGTAGTGGATAACTTAGAAACAACAGTTTCAAAATTTCTACTTAGAGAGCATCTAGAAAAAAGACAAAGAACAAAGCTAGTGTCGTCATTCTTTGCATAAAGAATAGCCTAATGCTCACACTGGGCTATTTGTTTTTTATAAATTGAAGAGTTTGGGAAACTAAGCCTAAAAAAACCTTGAATTAACATTAATAAACTTCCCAGTAGTCCCTAGAGACCTGTCTGTTGGGTTCAGGCCCACAAAATGGATGTATGTTTAACATTAGTTCTTCTTCACTAACCACTTCATATTTGATCCAAAGTAGAGTTGCAAAGCTACCCATACCACAAACTAAAATGTTGATGTTGAAATGGTTCAGCTGTTTAGATTTTCCTTTCTTTTCTACAATTTATAATTTCAGAGAAAATTAGAATTATCTTAACTGATCAGAGAAAGTTCATTACATGGAACATTTAAAATAAAAAATCTTGATTAAGTAATATTCTGCATTCTAAAGCATTGTGCAATACTGGAAAACCATATGGCACAGGTGAAATTGATGCTGGGGGAGGTATCACATAAGAATCCCCACATAAGCCTATGCACTTGTCAGAAGTGAGTACACTGGTTGTCTACTAAACCTGGGAAAATTCAGTCTCAGATTCTTAGATAATATTCATGAACATAGAATTTTGGAGGACATCAGTAAGAAAACTCTTAAGACACAAAGAATCTAAGTTTGTGCTTATCAAAGAATTGGGTTCCCACCCCTTTTCCCAATTACATTCATATTTACCTGTAACCAAAGCAGTGAGTGCATGCATCCTTCTCATGTAATGACCTATTTTATTTCTATAACTAGTACCCATATACACAGTGGGAGAGCTCATGCTTTTTCGCATTTAATTTTTTTCTTTAGTTGTTATCTGGGGAGAGAATTGTTAATATCCATTAAATATTTTCAGGTCATCTTCTTTATTACAATCCCCACAGCTTAAGTGCATGACAGAATATGCAGAAAATATTTTAGACATATTATTGATTTGAAGAATTTCAGGTGATTTTGTCTTAACAAGGGTAATTCTTCACTACCAGTGGCATTTCAGAAATTTTGGGGGTCCTCAGGTAGTGGGCTATAATTTTTCTCATGGCAGTCTTCATATTTCTATTCCTTAATGTGTAAATAATGGGGTTTAGGATGGGAGTGAAAACCGTGTAAAATATGGCAAGAACTTTATCCACAGCCTAAGTGGTAAAAGGCCACACATAGATGAAGATGCAAGGTCCAAAAAATAATATGACTACCATGATGTGGGCAGCCAGTGTAGAAAATGCTTTGGCTATTGCAGCTGAAGACCTGAACCACACTGTGAAAATAATAATGATGTAAGAACCCACCAAAAAAGAGAAAGTACTTAGAGAAAGAATTCCACTATTGACCACTATTAATATTTCAATGGTGTAAGTGTCCAGGCAAGCAAGTTTGGCCACTCGAGGAAGGTCGCAAAAAAAGCTATCTACTACATTGGGTCCACAAAAAGGCAGGTTCACAGTAAATGATAGCTGGCTTAATGTGTGCACCAAACCCACAGCCCAAGAGATTATGACCAAGAGTGTGCATGTCCATCGGCTCATGATGACTGCACAGTGTAGAGGTTTGCATATGGCCACATATCTGTCATAAGCCATGCAGACCAGTAGCATCATCTCTCCTCCTGTAAAGAGATGAATGAAGAAAATTTGGGATATGCAGCCAGTGAAGGATATGGTCTTGTGTTCACTCAGAAAATCTGCAACCATCTTAGGTGTAGCAAAAGAAGCCTGACAAATGTCAACAAAGGAAAGGTTTCCTAGGAGGAAATACATAGGGGAGTGCAAGCTGGTATCAAAAGACACTGTGATGATAATAAGAATGTTTCCTAGCACAATGACCACATACAACACAGAGAAGAAAAGAAAGAAGAAAAGCTGGAGTTCTTGAGAACTTGAGAGTCCCAACAATATGAACTCAGACACCACTGAAGAATTGGTCTTATCCATGCAAGCTGTAGACTTGCTCTGAGACAATCCTAAAGCAGGAGAAATAAAAAGAAATTGGATATGTGAACTAAGAACAACTTTAATAAGAAGAATTCTGGTATCTCAGACATAATGTATATTTGTTGAATGCAAAAATTTTGAAAAGACCATTTGATCATGCATTTGGACAATTGGAAGGAGGTTATGAGATGTTTAAGTAGCTCTTAATATTTGAGCAGAGTCCAGAGAACTCCTTGAGTTTCTGGACCATTTATCTCTTACACAGTAGAAAATGAGTTCAGTCATGAACTGTTTTGCACCATTGGGGCAATTTAAGTCTAGCCCACAAGCTTTGTAGAATAGCAAAGTCAATCAGATCTGTTGGTCTTATATTATTTTCCATCATTAATTTTAATAAATTTTTAAGCACAGCATTTTCTTTAACTTTCCAAGAGAAATCATGACTTGATGTTTATTATATAATGTAAAGTCACACTCATTGTTTAACTACAGGCTAGTTATTTTTTTGAGTTTTAATTATTCATCTTAAAAAAAGATGGGGGTACAAAAACACAACCATAAACAGTTGTAAAATTTAAGCATTGAATCTCATGGACATTCTACTACCACATTATAATAGTTCTTCTTATTTTGTTAAGTACCTCCACAATAACAACGACTTACATTACTGCTGCAGGAGTCATATGATTTAGGCAATTCCCACTAAGCAGATGTCACTGAATACATATTATCCAGGTCTCTAGTTCCAACAGTTTGTCAATCACTCATCCAAATAATTTATTAAATTAATCATTCGTAATATTATGACTTACCTCAGACATTTAAAACTCATATTTGCTTGTTATCAAAGAGCAGTACCCTAATGTGCCATTTTCCCTATAAAATTAAATATAGGGACTATATATAGAGATATAGGAATATAGTTCAGTGGTAGAGCACTTGCCTAACATGCACAAGGGCTTAGATTCAATCTCCAGCACTATATGAAAATAAAAAAATTAGATTAAGGTCCATTTATGTTCCCCCTCCTTAGTAGTTTCTTAGTACATCTTTATAAATATCAAAGGAATAGTGGAAATGAATAATCCTAATAATTAGACAAAGTTTACATCTTCTGTTTTTCCCCTATAAAGGTGTACCCTGGCTCAGTAAATGTAGTTTGGCTCAAGAAGCCCCATTTTAGCTAACTGTATTAGTTCTGAAATGAACTGCTAGCAACAGTCACATTAAGGAACCTAAAAGAAGTTTTGAGAGTATAACTATCTTCCACTGTTTATCAATTGCACATAGAAGCCAGTCCTTCTTGTGTCTCTAGATATGGCCCTACCCCCACATTTGGATGGATACTATTGCAATCATACAGAGAATCCCTCTATTAAAACAGTCTCTTCATGTGCTTTACTGGAAGAAGGGCAGAGAAGCATTTCACTGACCCACATTTTGGATATACATTATTACGGACTCTGGAACTAGAATAAGAAATTAAGATGACTCATAATATTATGAGTACATTAATGACAATGAATCTGAGTTTAAAATATATGAGTGTAATAATTTAGAGAATAAATCCAAAAATAATCTTGCAAATCATTTTATCACCTTATTCCATGTGTGACTTATTTGCTTTCCCATTTATAAAATGCAGGTATTCTTCTTCGAGTTCATGGATTTAATATATAAAATGATCAACTCCACATAGGTAAAATGTTTATTATATGAATGTAGTTTAAAGAAACTAAAAGAATGAAACAGATTTCTAGTGAGCTATGAATAATAATTTTAAAACTGGCAAAATAAAGAAAGACTAGACTTTTTAAAATCTTTCTTGGGAACATCCACATAGTTAGATGTTTTATCAAGTGACCTTTACCACAGATTTATGGAGAAGGCATTATTATTCACAAACTACAAAAGAGATAACCAAGATTAGACAATTAAGTAATCTTCATTGAGATAGCAAGTAGGGCTTTCAAAATGTTACTGAAGATTTGAAATTACATAATAAAATAAGATTTAACATTTACTAAGTAGCAGCAAAGTGCTAGCTTTGATCTAAGCACTTCATATATGTTAAAGTTTCTTCCACATATATCTCAATGTAAAAACATATGCAATAATTCCATTTTACCATAAGAAATCAAAGCTACAGAGATGATAAGTGAATTCCATAAAATCATGTATCTGAAAAGCCATCTGAAGTAGAATTTGAGACCCAGACTTTGACTCCACACTATAACTCTACATTATAATGTTTTGAATCTTAATTATATGAAACTGTGCCATGACAGTCAAGCATAGATGATCTAGTTTGTCCTATTAGCACACAATATTCCTAGCCCAAACTGCACTACTCAGTATTTAACAAGTTGCAAAAGCTTCCTATTCATTTTCTCAGGTCCTTCACAGATGCTATTTCCCCTGAAAACCTTCCTAGAGGCTAATTTTAGGGTGAAATGTCCTGTTCCTGATGCTGCTGTAGCACTGTTCTTGCAGGTATACTATAGACTCTGTCAAAGTAAGAGGTTTTGTACATATCATTTCTCTTCAACATTGAGAGCCTCCTTGAATTCTCACTTTTTGTGTGTCAGTCTCAGGATTTGGTATGGAGATGTGCTTGAAGCAAATTCTCCATAAATGTGTGTTAGTATTGGTTGAAATATATTTTACTTCATCTCTGTCATTCACTCAATACTTTTCACTTCTGATCTTCTTATGTACCAAATCCTTTTCAGTGACATTCTTGAGTTCTGCAAACTCTGCTAATTATCTATATAATAGTCAATCTTTATATGAAACAAACATTTCATCTTCTTGGTATTATAAGGTCATAGTTAAGTTATTAAAATCAGTGGGGAAAATCAACTAGAGTCAGGTGTGGTAGGTCTCATCTGTAATCCCAGCACTTGAGAATTGAGGCAGGAGGACTGTGAGCCCCAGGCTAAACCAGGATACACAGTGAGACACTACCTCAAAACACCTATGATGATAATGATGATGAATTGACTAGCAATCACAAAAAGAATAAAATAATCAGTTTTATTGTGAAATTGAGAAAAAAGATTCATTATATTGGAAGTAAAGCACATTTGGGTTACCACATTTTTAAAAAGTGATAGAAATAATGTACTTTTCACAAAACAAAGTTTCACTCTACTTCTATAGCATCCACTAAATCCTATCTTAACACTTTTAAGTGCAAAGTAAAATAAATTATTCATGCAAACACAGTATAACTACAAACCTGTTACACACACTTACTATGTTACAGCCCCATTATTTTTTTAAGTTGTATTCTACAAATATATATATATATAAACATTACATATAAATAAAGTAGAGAGAGAGAAAGAGAGTCTTAATTTTCATTCTTACTTCATTATTTTGGGTGATGGTTAAGAGTGTCATGATAGATCTTTTTGAAGTACAATCACAGCTTTTCATTGTCTCCCTGAGAATTCTTCACCATCTTACATAATTTCACAGACTCTCCTAAGCATGCTGAAATAGACACAGGAATAGCCTCATTTTGGCTCACTTTCATTTACTTCTTAATACTTTTCTTCCCTTCATGGATGCTTTCTAATATGTGACATTGTAATTGTATGGAACATGTAACCAGACACAATCTATTTTTAATTATATCTCTGTCAGTAATATCATACCTTCATATCAAGGATGTAAATTGAATTCTTCAATTTTTCTAATGTGAGATTAAGCTCTTCCAAATAGTGACATTTATAGGTACCTTCTGCTTTTGGTAAATGGGAAAAATACATAGCCAAGAGACCACTTGAGGCTTTTGAGATTTAGCAATACATAGTCAATGTTCATCTTCCAATGGGGATTGTTGATACCTTCCAGGAGACCTTCCCATTGGAACAAAGTAAATAACCCACTTTGCTGTCAGTTACAATGAGGACCATCAGAACACAAGACAGAAGGGGAGACTGATTTAGCTCTTGGATAGTATGTGAAGTAGAGTAACTTCTGTGAACTCCTTACAAGTGAATCTGCTCCTCCAGGGAAAATTTGTGGAAAAGTACATTATTTGTCCTAAATGAGAAATACCTTGACTTAAGAATAGAAGGACATATGGATTAAAGGGTAAAGAATTAGAACCAGAAAACATGACTTCTATTTCAATTCTAGCACTAAGAAGTAGTTACTGGGCTCTAACTCTCAAACCTCAGTTTATATTGTAGTATGATTTTTAATATTTCAAAGACAATAAAAATAAAGACAAATATTAAATGTATACAATGGTCAGCTTTGGAAAATCTTAACATTTTGTCATGTTAATTTTATTTTTATTGGAGATAAAATATGGTTAGTGGAAACATTATATAACACCCCCAAACAAATTTCCAGAGTTAACCCATAACCTTGATTTGGTATTTAATGTTCCTATTATGTTGTTAGTAGTTTAGCAAATAGGGATGCATCTACAAAGAAATATACAGCTTGTATTTGCTCATTTATTTAACTTCATACATGTGGTATTGTTATCCCTATATTATTTTGTTTTGCTTTTTTTTTCTATTTTTTCCTTTTTTTTTTTTTTCGGTGCTGGGGACCGAACTCAGGGCCTTGCACTTGCCAGGCAAGTGCTCTTTCCACTGAGCTAAATCCCCAACTCCCATATATTATTTTGTAATTCCCTGTTTTTCCACTAAGTAATTTGTTTTGAACAGTCATCAATAGTGATACAAATATCGTTAGTTCATTCAGTTTAATGCTGTAGGATTTCCATTGCATAAATTTATTGCTTACTTATACACTTGTGGTAAATAGACATCTGAGCCATTTCCAATTCTTGCTATTACAAACAATAAAATAAACATGTGCATTTGTAAATGTGTACTAAAGTTTCTCTAGAATGCTTTCCAAGGTGAGTAATTGCTAAGTTATGGAAAAGAATACAAATCATCAATATTACTACATATTTCCAATTTATCCTTAAATGACTTAACAATTTTCTGCTTAGTTTATTAATTTATTAC